GCTAAGAATTCAAGTTGATCCTAAGTATATTTAACTTGGAGGTTGCCCTCTCTTGAGATTTCTACTACACCAGTTTATGAGCCAGGGCTTTCTCAAAATTTATCAAATTGTATGCACCTAAAATGACAATTTTAATAATAATCATATGTCAATAAAGCAGTCATAAAAAGTTGAGGTTTTCTGGGCCAATTGATCTACGTAGTTCATAATTGTCTTCACTTTATTTATGGCTTCTTTTTTTTCATTTCTGTTTTTTATCTTTTCACTTTCTTTTTTATTGTAATTTATCAGGTAAGTAACACCCTTCAGTTACTGTGGGCTGATCAGGTCTGCATTTTCCCAAATGAGTGTATGGTGAAAAAGAGGCAAATGGAATGATTTCAGGGCTCCAGGAGAATAAAAACCTTCTCAGAGAGTTCAAGATTCTCTCAGGGCTAAAACCAAGACCTTCTGTGGGTGACCCATATTTCTTTAGTTATCAAAAGAAGGGAGGAGAGTACTCAAGTAGGTATTAATGTAATACCTTACTTGGTAAGGTAGATTCTCACAAGAGTGAGATGCTTGAGGCTAGTCTTTATCTAGTTGAGATCAGACCCAGGTGTCCTAGGCTGTGATCTTGTCTTATCCTTTGAGGCTTTCCAGCTTCATCCGCCATTACAGGCCTTAGTAAGGATCAGTGACTCACTTACTGTGAGTCCACCACCCATCTCTAGACAAGGAGATTAGGCCTTGGGCAGACTCACAAGTACACATGGAAAGTCCGTTGGTTAATTTAAATCCTGCTCAGGCCTGTTGCATAATGATCTCCATCAGTAATTATTAACACAAGAATTGAACAAACTGATGGGATTCACTGTGCTATACTCATAAATGCATGCAATGTGGGTTATTTCTGGTCATCCTCCTTTATTGTCTCTCCCCTCTCCTCGCATCTCCCTGGCCCACTTCCTGTGAACCATAGTCCTTCTTCTACTTGTGTGCACTTTAGAATTGGGGAAAGTGGGCACAGTTTCCTCAGGAAGAGCCAGGACAGGAACTTAGATGCTGTCTAATTGAAAGCCTGAGATTTGTTTCCCATTCTGATATAGCTATTTAACAATAACAAGAGAAACAATAATTTTTATATAGGAAATGACAGAATCTACACTGTCAAGTAACAAGAAAATTTATAGTATCTATATCAACTTAGTTGACTTTTAGAAATTAGAACACATTTTCCTGCTAGGCAAGTATGATATTGCAGAGCACTCATGAGCTATCATATATAAACACATCATTCAAGAACCTCCTAAATTGTATGTATTCTATAAATACAAATGAATAATTCAAAAGATTTAAAGATCAATCTTTTCTCAGTGACAGAACACCCACCAACACACACTAGCTCAAAAAAGTGGGCTGGTACAATGGTTAGCACTACCCTTTCCCAGCCCAGGTCTGCTTGCCTCATGATCTGAAGCTGAATGTCATTTTATTCCATTTCACCACTAAAATAATGTTGCCCTATATAGAAAGTCACTGACATCTGAAAGGTTCTCAGATTTTGTGTCTTTTGGCAGTATTATCTAAAACAATGATGAAATGATAATTGCGACTTCCATTTTAGAATACTCTGCCCTATAAAAATGCAGAGCATCCATAGTACTCAAGAGGTATGACTGTAAAGAATAAAAAGCAGAAATAACTCTCATAAATGTGTCCTTAATTAAAAATAACAGATTTGAAACTGTACAATATTCCAATATTTGAATTGGAAGTCACAGATAAATATTCTTCTTTGCAACTAGAACAATTTACCAGATATTTTTAAATATGAATATCCACACACATATATGTGCAAGGTGTATATGAAACACCCATACACACACTTTACTTGTTCCTTGTTAAATAGATAGTATTTAAAATTTAAGGATAAAATACATAAGGTCAATAATAGTGTTTGAATTTTATTCATTAGTCCAACTTGTATATTTAGAAAGTAAAAGTTGTTGGATTTTAAGGCATTTTGCCAAGGAATTGAGTATTTTATACTGTCTAATTCTGTGGATTTCCATGTGTATGGTTTTATAATATTGTTAAAATTGCATTTGCACCAACTTATGATTTTAAAAATTTTAACAAGAGGAAAATTGCCTTGCAATTTTGTTCAAGACTGTGATTTCATATAAATGATTTCCTATCATGAGATAATGTTAGATTTCTGTCTCTTTCCCTTTTTCTGTATTTTTCAGTTGCACCACTGAAGTCGTTCTGTGCTGAAAAGTTTCATTCCTGGGCAGTGATGATCCGAACTGTTAACCAAGGACATGTTGCTTGCCCCCCAGAGGCATGAAAAACAAATAAACAGCTTGAGCAGATGAATGGAGAGGAGCAGGAGAAAGCTGTGAATGTTTACCACAACTTAATGATCTCTTGAAAACCATTCCTCTCCTTAACCTCAACTAGCAGCCAATGTGTTCAGAGAGCAAGAAAGCATGGCAGAACACAGTGTGGCACAAGAGGCATTATTTAAAATGAGCCTAGGATCTTCTTTGGCTGTTTTTAGTATTATTTTATTGCTCCAGTTTAATATAATGCTGGTGGTGTCTGGTCATAGAAATAGATAAAGATTGCTTACTGGAAATTTATTATTGAAAGAACCTGAAAAGGTTTGAAGGTAAAAGTTTGATTTTTGAGACCCCTGTTCCCATTTTTTATTTAAAATATCAAAGCACACAAGCTCTGAGTAACTCTGGGGATAGAATCAAAGGTACTGGTAAATTGAATTCTTATTTTGTACAAGATTACCAGGAAAAAAATTTCTTCATGCATTAACTGTTCTGAAAGCTTTCTGGGCCAGATGAGAAATTTATGAACTTGATAACATGCTAGGTTAATGACCTTAACGTCTAGCTCTCTATTCTTAGCCACAGGTTTGTCTTAGAATGTGGAGCTACTTTCAGATACTTTCAGTTAGCTGAGTACATATTTGGGACTTATTTGGGCGCTCCTGTGACAAAGTTTGTCCAGGTGTATTGTGTGCACCATCCCGTCCTCTTGTTCAGTGCTGTGCTCCCAGCACAAAGAAGAGATTTGATGAATTGACACCAAAAGGCATAAGTGTCCAGTCATCTTACAGTGTGTCATGAACCTTTCCAGTAGAGAATTAGCCCAGAGGCTTTTGCTTTTTTTTTTTTTTTTCTGGTACCGGGAATCGAACTCACGACCTTGCGCTTGCCAGGCAGGTGCTGTGCCTCTGAGCTAAATCCCCAGCCCCCCCAGAGGCTTTTGAAATTGAATGAATTAAGAGGTGTCATTACACCAAGGTGGAAATTTTGGAAATTATTTCAAAAAGTGAAGGCCCTCAGAACTATGATTTCATTTTCTTTTTTTTTAAATGAAATTTTTTTATTTGAACAGATCAAACAATGGAGTACTCTTACGTAAGTTGTATTTGACTGTAGGGAGACAAAATGCTACATAATAACTAATGTAAGAACTTCAGGATATGTTTTTCTATGCATGCATTTAGCTATATTCAAAGGGCTAGGGGTGTAACTCAGTGGCACAGCACTTGCCTAGCATGTACAAGGCCCTGGATTCCATCCCCAGCACTGGAAAAAAAATTGTGTGCATGCACACACGAATCTCCATTTACCAGCCTTACTTCATAACTCCGGGGATGGAGGGGGAAGAACGCATTTTTAAAACTGCACTTGACATGTCTGGTTAATTGAGGTTCTGTTGCCCAAGGCAAGGTACAGGTGCAAAACCTTGCTACTTAGTAGACTATAATATGATATCTGCATAAAAGGAGGTGATACCTCAGCCAGTAGGGCAGAAGATCATACATTATATGCACGTGCAGGTTTTACAGTTGCTCAGGCTCTCGTGTTTTTTTTCAACTTTTAGTTTTTCTTTAATACTATACATTTATTTCCCTTTGACATACTCATGGGTATGTTTTAAACTAAGCTTCTTTAAGTGTAAACTTTACTCTTCGATATCCTCAATTTCATTCTGCTAGGTGAAATCCACTCCAGCAGACACCACTCCAATTTGAATAATTACTGATGAATGAGGCTTCAGTACTGATCCAGGGCATTAAAAAAGGATTTGTATGCATAAGTACAAAAATATTTTATGTTCTGAACCTTTCACTTTTGAAGTAGTCTCTTGAAAGGAATGTCAACAGGAAATTAAAGAGCTTTCAAAATTTCCCATTAGACTATGACTTGTGGTAAAGATGAGTGGAAATGGCTTGTAATTGTTACATTACTGGAAGTATGAATAATACTGTGGTAATACTGGCAAGTATGGGAATATGGGGTAGCATGGGAAAGTATACACTAATTCAAAAAAACACTGTTTTCTTGATACCACTGGTGTAAAGTTACATATTAGTGTTATTTTCTCTCTTTCTTTTTTGGTCCTTCTGAGTCAGGGTCTCACTATGCAGTTCAGGCTGGCTTTGAACTCACTTTGTATCCCAGGCTGGCCTTGAACTTGTACCAATCCTCCTACCTCAGCCTCCCGAGTGCTGAGATTACAGGCATGCACCGTCACACGCAGCTTAATGTTATTTTCAAAGGCCAGTTTGATTTTATGGAAATGTAACAAATATTTATCGAGCTCCTACTACATCCCTCATTATCCCTAACAAGCAATCCCAGGTGATCTTGTCTCTTCCGTGGTGCATGTTTGTGGGCGAGGCTGTTTGTAGTAATGGTTAGTGTCCTTGTGAGGCAGGCTGGAGAAGGCTTATCTACTTGTGGTCACTTGGCTGGCTTTATAAGGTATTGCAGAAAGCAGACAGTGAACCACAGGTCTGCCAGAAGCATTTCTTCTTTGAAGACATTCTGAAGAGTCATCTTCTGGAGGGGCCTTGTTCTGCTTATGTGATAAAATTCTTTTTGATGTAAGAGTAGAACAGAGAATTTCAGCCAGTCCTGCAGAAATTGCACTTTAGTCTCCGACTTCACACTGTCATCTAGCCGGCATTCTTTTTGACTGAGGTTATCTTAAAACAAAAAAGGGAGGAAAGCTTTCCTATGCTTTGGGTAGGAGACGGGTTTGCTTTGGTAGAATCTGTGGTTGAGGAAAGCAGAAAGAGCCTGGTTGGAGAATACATGTGTCACTACCAGCCACCAAGTTAAACTGTGGAAACCAAAAGTGACAGCCATGGAAATGTAGATCGTCAGCTCCGCTAAGTAATTAGGGGAAGAAACGTGTTCAAACCAGTCTCCAAAAGGGATCCTGTGGTTGCAGTGAATGACAATTCCTGCTTTATTTTTCCTGAGGTTGCCGAGAATGACATGGCACTTATACTGGTGGACAAATGACCAGATAAACATCATCACCCCAAGGATGTGGAACCACCGTGCTTGCATCAATGGATTTTTCCCTATTCCATACACACTGCAGCCATCCATGGGCACTTGGCTTAGCACAGTTAGGCAGAGGAGGACATAGTAGACAAGGCCGAAACAGTCCGGCACAATGTGAATCATGGCATTGGAGAAGACCCTGATGAAGAAGCACTCGAAGAGTCTGCGCCAGGTGTGAAGCCACAGCAATAGGAGTACCAAGAAGGCAGAAAGTGCTAGCTCACTACCTCTTGAGGCCAAAGGCGCGGCAGGTGGCCGGCCCCTTCAGCTTGGGCGGATAAGGTCCTGGAAGAGCTCGCAGCCCAGGAGCAGGGAAGGGGGCGTGAGCTGCAGCAGCAGGTTCAGCAGGAAGGTAGAGGCCAGCCGGAGCCAAAAGGCGAGCAACGGGCCCAGCTCCCACAGCATGGCACCCACTGTGGGTACCATGGCTGCCACACGCTTGGCCAGACCTGATTTCATTTTCTTCTCATTAATTTCTTAACACTTATTCATTCATTATATAAGTCACTTACAATTTAGCTGGGAAGGTAGACATCGAAGAAGCATTTGTAATATACAATCAGGAGGGCTTTACCTATACAAGCATATCAGCAAAGTTTCTGTCTTAGTTTGCGCTGCTATAACAAAATACCATAGACAGGGAAATGTACAAACAACAAACTTCACAGCTCTGGAAACTGGAAAGTCTAAGATTAAATTGCCAGTAGACTCTGGCTACTTAGCGTGTGTCTGTGTGCATGTGTGTGAGTGTGTGTGTGTCGTGTTTGTGGGCATGTATACATGTGAGTGCACGTATTCCTCCTACTCATTTTCATTGTCACAAATACTTGATTCACATTTTTCAAACTTATTCTGCTGAGAATAGGTTTTCAGTTGCTGGATACTTGAGACTTGAAGCTTTCTTCAATGCAAACTGAAGATCAAGATCCAGACTTGTAGAAAGGTGGAGAAAGAAACCCAAGAAGTGCTGAAATAATATTTCAAATTGTTTTTAAGAAGAAAAACCCTAGATGCTGTAAATCTACCGCTACACTTTGAGGACTTTAGGAGTAGTCACTCTCTGGAACACTGTTCTTTTGGAAAATAAAAGTGGTTTAGGAATATTGTAGCAAGTCATGTTATCTGATAGAAAAGTGAAGTCAATTAGCCGGAACACATTGTATAAATGGTTGAACAGGCAAGAAAAGGCAGAAGCTAATGTCAAGAAACAGAAATAAGTGAAGTGGGAAATGTGGCACATTTAAGAACCAGATAAATTTAGGATAATAATATTATTATTACAATTATCTCAGTTCCTTAAATAAAATATTCTTTCCCGCCTCAGGGCCAACTTTCCATTTGGCTGGTTTTTAGTTTTCATTTATGTCAGTTTCAATGACTCTTTCACTAGAGAAAGCTCCCTTGCCTCTGAATTCTAAGCAAATCAAATTTCTTTATACATTTTATTCCCTCTAAGTACTATCATAATTTTAATTTATCATTATTGATAAAAACAATGTCTTCTTTCACTAGATAGGAAGGATTAGTTTTGTAGAAACGAGAAGTGTCTGGTTTACAGTTATATACTCAATACCTAGCACAGTGCTTGGGAAGTAGCGAGCCCAAACTAAACGCTTAAAGAAAATTAATACTTATATGAGTATGTAAATAAAACTGATGATTTTGAAAAAGAAGCAAGATGGTAGTTTGGGACTAATATGTGGAACTGTAAGTACTATGGACTGTCAATTACTTTTATGTACTTTCTATTTATGACATCCTGCTATATTACACAATCCATGAATCGTTGTACAAGGTTTTCTTTTTTCTTTTTTTGAGGTGTTCAAAATATTCAAACAATAAACGTAAATGACCACTGACTCACATGCTGTAAAATGATGAGTATTAGCATGTGTGCACTGCATTTCATCATATTTTTCAATCCAAGCAGTGGATGGGCCAATGTGAGTATTCATCTACGTTAGTGATACTGAAGTCCTCTGATTTTTCAGGGTACTATACTCACCTAGAAGAAGGTTACATATTTTCAACATTTATACTAAGAGAGTTTGTAGTCATGTTTCCAAGAAGTTGGGAAATTGCTTTTAGGGTTATGGAACTATGACTTGAGGGATTCATGACCTAGTGCAGCCTTCACAAATCTCCCTCCCTTCAATGCATGATTTAAAAATTATATAGGTGTGTTTATTACACAGAATAATGTGTTACATTTTTCCATCTTTATACGGCTTTTGGTTATTACCTTCCTTCATTACACCCTCTCCCTTCTCTCCTCCCTTACCCTGGTCCCGTTCCTGAAAATGCTGTGGGATTTTTGTGTAGAGATGGGACACTGTGGCCTTTTTCTCTGGAAGCAGCTTTATTGGAGCCACCACTGATTCAAGGGATTTGTGTGTAAAGGATGAGTGCTGGACGTGGTGTAATTGAACACTTTTATGTAATTTTTGTGCCTTTGTCTGCCTTATAGGGTCATACACTAACATTTCACAGTCTGGTTGGTTATAATTTATTACAGAGTTTATTCAGAACTGCACGTGCACACACAGAGGCTGATATCACTATGCTGTTCCTGCCCCACACCTCCGGAGGGGTCCTACTGCAAACTGTAACATCCTTCAAGTTTCTTTTCATCTCCCCTTTTTGTCTTCCTAGATGCCAAATGTTAGTCAGAACATGTGATATTTAAGGTTCTGAGCCTGGCTTATTTCACTAAACATACTGATATCCAGTTCCATCTATTTTTCTGAAAATGATATGATTGTGTTCTTAAATATGGCTGAATAATACTTCGGTATATAACACTATGTCTGGAACCTAGGCTGCTTTCAAAGTCTAGCTATTGTGAATGGTGCCATAATAAATATAGGTATGCATGTATCTGTACAGAATGCTGTCTTTAATTCTTTTGGAAATATACTGAAGAGTGATACAGCTGGATCAAACTGCAGCTCTATTGCTAGTGAGGAAGCTCCTTACTGATTTTCACAGTATCTGTACTAGCTGACATTCCCATCAGCAAGTGTAGAGAGTTTCTTTTCCCCCACATTCTCATGAGTATTTACTGTCTTTTGTATTCTCAATAATAGTTATTCTAACTGGGATGAGATAAAATCTCAATTTTTTTCAAATTTATTGCTGTACATGCATTTCTCATGGGGAATTTGTACATGTAGCTTTCATCCTCATTTCTGTAATGGCTAAATATTTCTTTCATATACTTAAATGTAATATACCCTTCCTCTGAAAAGTGTTTGTTGAGCACATTTGTCATTCAATGATCAGGCTATTTGGTTATTTGCTGCTAAGTTTTTGCAATTTTTATATATTCTACATATTAAACCTGTCAGAAAGGTAGCTGGCAAAATTTTGCACCCGTTCTGTAGGTTGTCTCTTCATTCTGTTAGCTGTTTTCTTTGTTGTGCAGTAACTTTTTCATCTGATGTAGTCCCATGTATTCATCCTTACTATTATTTCCTGTGCTATTGGAGTCTTATTCAATAACTCTTTGCCTGTTCTCATGACTTGGAGTTGTTTTCTCCTGTTTTTTTTTTTTTTTTTTTTTTTGAGTCTTAAAGTTTCAGGACTTGTTCCATCTTTGATCCTTTTTAAATTAATATTCGCACAGGGTGAGAAAAGGGATCAATTTTCAAATAGGGACTGCCTTTTGAAAATGGCAGTCTTCTGCAAGTAGACACGCGGTTTTCCCAGCGCCACTTGTTAGGGTGATTGGTTTTTCCCCGACATGTGTTTTTGCTTCCTTTGTGCAGAATCAGATGGCTGTAGTTGTGCATGTAGTTGTCTGTTTCCTCTATTCTGTTCCATTGGTCCATATGGCAGGTTTTATACCAATACCATGCTATTTTTGTTACTATGGCTTTGTAGTATACTTTGAAAGTGGGTGTTGTGATGCCTCCAACATTTACTGCATCGGTTTTTCACCTCCCATAATAAGGAGCAAATGAAACTATAAAGTATTAAACTGTCTACTCAACACCTGCCTCTATATCAATCTACACTTTCCATCAGAAGCTAATTCTACAGACAGAAAATAACTGGTGGACTAAATTTCTGCTCTAGATTATGCTATCTCACACTGTGGAAGATGATGTATTCGTTTGAATTTTCTTCTGCCTAATCTGCATTTCTCACCACAACTCCATTTAACTGCTGAAAGACTCTAGGGTAAAAGGCTTTCCTAAGAGGCAAGTGTACTCACAGGCTTAACATCATGTGGGTAAAGTACATTTCTGATTTTAGACCCTCAGGTAGCTTTGTGCAAGCCAGTATCCTTACGGCCATATGTCAGGGCCTGCAGAAGAGGGCCTCAATCTAGGGCAACATTTGTAAATGTTTCATCTCTCCTTTGGAAAGCAAACAATATTTTGTCATCAAAAAAGAACTGAACCTCATGTTCATAAAAAGAACTTTGTTCGGACTGTGTTCTTAAGAGTGGCTGAAAATTGGCTTGACTTGGTATGTATATCAATTCATCATATTGGGGCTTATAACTCTATCATCATCAGTTAGTGTCCTCTTTTGCCATCCTAAGTGTCCTTGTTTATATGAGAACTTACATGGTCACCTTAAGCAGGATATATGACATTGAACAAATAAGAGCTATTCTTATATTAATTATTATTCTATGTGATTCCTGGTTCTTATTCCTTTCAATAAATTTAAACTAAAAATTGCAGATAAATAAAAATTACAGTTCACATTATCACCTGTGTGTAGGTAAAATATTTAGTTTATATGATGCAAACACATAAAGAAATTTCATAGTAATGGTTAAATAGAGTTAGAGCATAAATTCCTCAAGCCTCTGTGTTGTTTTAAACTATTTCTCCTTTCCCTGAAGTCTTCTACATGATTTGTATATTATTTCCTTCCTTTGTGACATATGGTAATCTTAATTTGTAATGTCACTTTAGTCATATTCTTGGGGATCTGACACATTCATTTACAAGAAAATTCTTCGAGAAATACAACACATGGAGTTCATTATCACAACTTTGTTTTTTGAGCTTCGAAAAAATCATAAGCAAGAATGAAAGAATAACAGCACTGATTCCTTCCATAGTAGGTAACCCTAGAATTAACCCTGTGAAGAGCAAATTATAATGTGTCACACTTCTTTTTACATCAAAGTTTCTTAATATTAGCTACAACCCACAGCTTGGTAATAGGGTTTCTTTCCTTCCGGCCCGAGCATCCTCTCCAGTTCTCCTCTTGCACCTCTGTGTGGTTGGAACCACACTAGAGAGCAATCATCTGTGCTTCCTTCTGCTTCTGTGTGTCTTATGTGATTCTTCCTGCCAGTAGCGAACTCCTACTCTGCATCAAGTATGACTTTCTCTGTGAATGCTTTCACAACTCTTCCACCCCGCCCATTCCTCTCTGTTGGTTTTTTTAAATTATGCCCATCAATTAAATTGGGTATTTGTAAGAATAATTTGTGTATTGCAGGATCCATTGGTTATAGATTTTGATTTTGTCCTCACACTCCTAGTTGCTAGGAATGATTAGCCATATTGAGTGCTCAAGGGTAGAAGTCGAAATCCTGTTATTTCTATTCTTTCTTCCCAGTAGCTCAGGAAGGGCTCCATCCTGATTAGCTGTTTCATGTATATTTATTAAATAAATATCAGAAATGAACCGTGACAAATACTGTGCTTATTACCTGTGACTAGATCCTTCACTTTTGAATAACATTACTTTTTCTGATTATGGAAGTAGCATTGTCAGTGTAAGAAATATGGAAAAGCGTAAAATTAGGCTTTAAGCAATACCATCACACAGGACAAAATGACTTCTCAAGTGGGTGTCTTTGGCTCCTTGTCTTTGGTCAGTCTAACTAGAGAATTAGTGATCTTGTTGATTTTCTCAAAGAAAGAAATTTGAACTTTATTGGTTTTCTACTATTTGAAGAGATACTTTCTTTTTTTATCCTGTATTTTAAGGTATATCTTTAAGGATTTTTCATTTAGTACTTCTTTTTAAATGTAAATGTTTACATCTATAAATTTCCTCCTAAGCAGTGTTTTAGTTGCAATACTTTTTGTTGTGCTATCGTCATTTCCTTTCTCTCAAATTATGACATTTCATTTTCATATTTTCTCTGACCACTGCTTTTTTAAGAGTTTCTTCTTTAATTTATACACATAGTAATAACCAAATTTCTCTTGAGGATTAATTTCCAATATAACTCTGTTTTAGATTTATTGGAAGTAGTTTATAAAACGTTGTGTCTCAGAACAAGGATTCTTCTGCTACAGTTTGGTATAATGTTGTATGTATCTATTAGATTAAGTAGGTTGTAGCATTATTCAAATTTTCCATTTCTTTAATGATCTATCCTTTAGTTGTTTTTGTCATTATTGAGAGCTGAGGAATGAAATATGTAACCTTTATTGTTAAAGTCTATTGATTTTTCTTTTTATAAATTTGGATATGTATACTTATAAAGTTTATATATTTCTGAATATTTAACTATTTTGTAGTTTTAAAATATCTGATTTTATCTCTAGCAACCTGTTTTCTTTTCCTTTGTAGTACTGGAGCCAAGAACTAAAAAACATTTGACAAGGCCTTCTCACTCAGCTACTGATTCAACTCTTATTTTTAGATTTTATTTAGACACAGGATCTCTATATGTTACTATATTGCCCAGGCTGGTCTTGAACTTGTGATTCTTCTGGCTCAGCCTCCTGGAATGCTAGGATTATAGTCATATACAACATTCCACAACTTGAGAACTTTTAAAAATTTGTTTTGTCAGATATTTAGCTACTCCTCTGTTAAAGTTGCCAGTGGGATGATATGTTTCCCCTCTCTTATTTAATATATCTACATTTGAATCTAAAGTTTGTATCCAGTATGTAGTACAGAATTACAATTCAGTTTTAATCTTTTAAAATATTCTCTGAGTTTTGTTTCATTGCTTAAGCCACTCATAATAATTTTTTATTTGTATCTTTTGAAGAACATCTGTCATTTTGTTTCCATTTGTCTTATGTCTGTTTTCCTTGCCCTCTTCCTTCTTTATTTTCTTTTTGGGCACTAAAAGAATATTTCTTAGGGTAACATTTTAGTTTACTTAATGGAACCTTTGCAATGTATTTTTTACATTTCTTTAGAGATTATCAGTTGTAGCAGAATATACTTCAGATATATAATAATTGATGTCTACTGTTGCATAGAAAAATTTTCAACCCTATATACCACTGTTTCTCTCTCCACTTTGTACCACTATTATTGTGTATATGTTAAAAACTCAGAAATACATTTTAATTATGCTATCTATTTTCATAATATAATGGAGAAGTGAATATTGTCATATTAGCCTTACCATACTTTTTTGCATTTCTTCTTTTCTACACTTGGATCTACATTACCATTTCATATTTTCTTATTTAAGTGCAAATTTATTTCCTCACATTGCCTTTTTGGCCTTATTGGCAAAGATATAATAATTTTATATGGAGAGACTCATCAATATTGTTAAACATAATGTTTTATTTCATAGCTTTATAAATCACTGAGAAGACTGAAGAGCTATGCAATTACACTGTGTTTTGGAATTATCTACATAACTACCTTCGGTGATGTTCTTTGTTTTCCTTGTGTGGATTTGAATTTTAGTTATTTTTACTTCCTTACAGCTTAATGAACTTCTTGGAGGATTTTTAAAGAGTCTCTGTTAAAACAAACACCCATGTTCTTGTTTTTTATAAATCTGGTAATATGTTAGAGCTTCATGTTACCTTCATTTCTGAAAAGCAGTCTGTCTGGATACAAGACTCCTGCCTGATTTTTCCCTTTTCTTCAACTCTTTATTGAAGTTTTCCCAATGCCTTTTGGTTTCCATTGCTTATTGTGGGAGTGAAGTGTGATTCTTTTTTTTTTTTGGTCTTTTTGAGACAGGGTCTCACTGTGCAGTTCAGGCTGGCCTTGAGCTCACTTTGTAGCCCAGGCTGGCCTCGATCTGTCAATGATCCTTCTGCCTCAGCCTCCCGAGTGCTGGGATTACAGGCATGTGCCCCCAGGCCCACCTGGTGTGGTTTTTATTGGAGTCCCCTTGTACCTGCTGTGTCACTTTTGTCTACATGTTTCTGGATTTTTTTTCCTTGTCTTTTGATTGATGATGTGTGTGTATGTAGATCTCTTCTTTTACCCGATTTAGCATTTGTTCTGATTTTAAGATTAATATTTTTCTTCAAATTTGGTTTTTTTCAGACGTTATTTCCTCTATTCCTTTGTCATTATTCTCTTCTTCTACTCCATTACATGCACATTTGTGTGTTTAATGATGTACCTTATTTCTCTGGTGTTATTTTTATTCGATTTTTTTTTTCATTTCTGCTCCATGGAATGCTTGTTTTGTGTTGAGTTCATGAGTCATTCTGGCACCTGCTCCTCTAGTAAGTTTACTGCCTCACAAGGACAGTAACATGAGTACAAATAGCCTCTCCCACAAACACACCATGGAAGAGACAAGATCACTAAAGCTAATTTTCCTTTCTTAGCTGGAACTCATACCCTTTCATCAACATCTTGCCGTTGCACATCTGTTCATCTTCTCCAAGTTTCTGGTAAGTGCCATTCCACTTTCTATATCAATGCGTTGCACTATTTTCGTTTCCAGGTATATGTGCGATAGTGCGGTATTTGTCTTTTTGTGTGGTTACTTCTCAGCATAGTGTCCTCCAGGTTCATCCATGTTATCATTTGTGGAGATTCATCCCCAGCTCAGTCACTGGCTTTTTAAAGTGATTTCCTTATTAACCTGTGGTGCTTTGTTTGGTATATGTAGTTGCTGAAATTTATACTCAGCTTTCATTTCATTTAATTATTTCAGTTTCTTTGACATCTCATGGGTGATGCTTATTTGTTGTGACTTAGTGGTTTGGCAACAGTTGGTAAGTTCTTGGTCAAATGACTTAAATCAATAAGTTTTTATACTTTGGTGGTGCATTTGTGTGTGACCTGAGTATGGATTTTGTTGCTGTGGAGGTTATCTTCAAGTTTTTCAGCTTTTGCTTTCCTCTGGGCCCTCTTTGTTTTCTCATATGCATTGGTACAGTCTCTCAGTCATCTGGGAATATGTGGTCAACCTTGTGATCTCTCAGCTCTCCAATAATCTCTCAGACACACAGGGTTGTTTAAACAATTGCTGCTTCCTTGGGTTGCATCTATGCATTTGGATGAGTAGGACAGTTCTATATGTAGTGTTTATTGAACCTCTGTATAAAATAATCAATTTCTGGCTCCCTGTGTTAAATTTGTGACTAGGCTTCCAATAATCTACCCAAACCAATGGGAACACCAACATTCTATTAGGAAGGCTGCAGACTACTGATAGTTGGTATTGGGATATGATTTTCCCCCTTTCTACTGTAAATCAAGTCAGAATGTATTGGCAATAACTCACAGCCAACGTTGTTCTGGCATCAGATCTGATTGAAGGACGGGTGTAACCTTACAGCAGAACATCAGAGACACACTTTTACTGGATTTAAACCAATTTTTGTTAATAAACTCTTTGGAGTTTTTTCTTTGTCTTAGGCCAATTTCCATAAATCTTAAATGGCTGTGATCAAATGCTTGCCCAATTTTGAATTTTAAAGTGGAATAGAAATTTTCAAATCATCCACTCCTTCTTAGCCATAGCATTAACCCCCTACGAGTGCATGCATTTCTTGCATAATTGAGGCCACATTGTCAAAAGAAGTTTATGACCAGATATTATCAGTAAAATTAGTGAGAATATTCACATCATTATAAAGGCACTGAAACGTGGTTTTTAATAACTTCATGGTAGTTCTTGTATTAAGTTTTCGTAATTTATTTAAGAGTATGCTATTGGCAATTTAATGTAATATTTTGCCTTTGTGAACTGTGATAATGTTCTTTTATATGCATCTCTCTCTCTCATAAAGCTATAATTAGAAATATTTAGTAAAAATATATTTTCAAAATTTCAGTATACACAAAAACAAAATTTTTCCAAAACATCATAGCAATTTATGCCTCTAGTACTGTAGTACAGTGTTTGTCATACTATACCATTACCTATATTGAGAATTAACATTGAAGTATCTGCAGTCTGATAACTAGATGACTGAAAAGATCTAGCACATTTGCGTTCCTTTTCTAAATGTCCTTATTCAACCGAACTCTGTAATTCTTTACTTAGGATTAATGGATATTTTTTCTTCTCCTTGGCTACTCATTCATTACCTTTTCTTGGAACTGAACAGCATATCATTTCACGTCATTGCATACAATATCAACTCCCTTTATCTTTCTAATGGAGACATTTTTAGAAACAGCATTCTCATTATCAGTTCTCCATGACTGTAAATAGATTCATCCAGTTCCTAAGGTTTAAATTTTAATTAGGTCACAGGAATATCATTTGATATTCAAGGAGTACATGCTCAAAGATTCTGGGAAGGTAGTTATCTAATTTTTCAAAAGTATAAAGAGAAAAAAGATCAATAAATTATTTTTAAGACATTTTGATCATATGGTAATATTTTCTAAACAAAAACTGAAACACATTTGAATAAGTCCAATGTGAATTAACATAGGTGATCCTGATTATTACATTTTTGAAACTTTCTGAACAGTTTTTGAAGCCCATTTCCAATAGAGACTTATCTTTCTTTATTCTTATTTAGCTACGATGGAATAATTTTAGAAAGACAATAAACATAGAAAATATCAGTGTCTTCTCTAAATTTATAGCAATATCTATGACGTTGAGTGAGAAATGTATAGTAATATTTAGTAAACATCTTAAAGAAAGTATTCTTCATTTCAGAATTAACCCTTTATCTGATCTTTCTACATCTGTGCCAGTACAATTCATTCAGCTTACCCTACCCAGAGTGAACATTTTAAAATTGAAATTATATGTTTCCCATCTTAAAAGAACTTAGTATGTGGTAAGTTATTGGCCAAGCATTTCTAATATCCTAATAAGGACAGCCTTTTGCAATGGGTTTGTTATATTTCTTATTAAGAGATAACACCTTTTCCCAACCCCTTAATGAAGAGATTGTTTTCTATCTGTCCTTGTACTAATGGATGTTATAAAAATATTATCATGTAAATCTAGGAGATTTGGCTCAAGGTTGACTTGCAGTTTCAGTATTCAACTTCTTGGAATGGCACCTTGAGTTCTTCATGGGAAACAGGTAATCTGGACTGTTGAAGGAAAAACGAATGTATTAAATGTGATAGAGCCTTTACAGCCAAGAGTAATAAGAAAATGCCTGAGATGAAAGGGAGGTGATCTTGGACCTTCTAATCCATCACTTGCTATAGCTTAGTGACTCCACATGAATTAACTTTGGAAAAACCAGCAAAGAAACTGACCCACTAACACACAGAATTATTAGAAATAATACATCACTGAGTCTGTGTGACACTAAATTTAATAATACTTTTTGGTGTAGAAAGAGCTGATAGGCGTGATTTCCCGTCCTACTATGTATTTTATTCTATTTTCTTACTATTGCCTATAAATCCTTTTATATCTATAATTCTGCCCCAATAATATGCTTTATGAAATAATATACTTATTATTCTTATGATAATCTAGCTAGTTGTAAAAAAAATAAAAACCCTAAAATTTGCCTTGATGCTTTCTCTTTATCACCCTGGAGATCATCATCTATTTTTTTTCTTGCTACTAATCTTGTCATGACAAAGAACAGAATGTGAGCCATAATCTCACACATGAAAATAGGCCAGAGTGTTAGGAAGTTTGTCCCCATTCTATTGGTACTGGTACTAAAACTCAAAGTGCACATTTACTGATGTATGACCATCATGGGCAATTCATTTATTTCTTTATTTGTATTTTATGGGTTTGTTACTTTTATTTTTTTTAAAGAGAATAAACAATAACAAAATAACAAAAACAAAGACAAAAACAAAACTACACATACACAAAAAAGAAAAATTACACAAAAACATAAAAACAATACAGGATTTCAAAACAAGCTGATAGGAATTAAAAACGGTTTTTATATTACATATTGTTATCTTCAACAAAGTTGCTCAGATTACCAGATGTAAGAATGCAAGACTGATCAAACAAGTGGAGAGAATATAAAGTAATAAAAAAGAAACATTAGAAATGATACAGAGCTTCACTAAACAAGATGGTAGGGATTCAGCCATGGTTGTATATAGCATATTGTTGTCTTCAAATTAGTTGTTCAGATTACCAGATATAAGCATGCAAAATTGGTCAAGAAAAAAAAATTTAAGCATAAAATGTTCAATTCAATAAACCAATAGACATCAGCAGTACAATTATTTCCATCTATTCTATTTAATAACTACATACAGTAGCATAGCTGGATACATAGTCAACACTCAAAAATCTATAGCATTCCAGTACACAAACAAGAAACATACTTTGAGAGAAATTAGGGAAACTATATCTTTCACAATAGCATATAAAAATGAAATACTTAGGAATCAATCTAACAAAGGAAGTAAAAGATCTATACAGTGAAAATTACAGTACTCTCAAAAAGTAGATCGAAGAGGATTTCAGAAAATGGAAAGATATTCCTTGCTCACAGATAGGAAGAACCAGTATTGTGAAAATGGCCATAATCCCAAAATTATTGTACAGATTCAATGCAATCCCAATGAAAATACCATTAGTATACCTCACAGATCTAGAGGAAACATTCCTAAAATTCATCTGGAACCAGAAGAGGATTAGAAAAGCAAAAGCAATCCTGGGCAACAAAAGAAAGGCAGAAGGCAACACAATCCCTGACTTGAAATTATACTACAAAGCCACTATGGTAAAATCAGCATGGTATGGGCAAAAAAAGGGGTAATTCATAATTTGTCAAAATTTAACATTATGAAAATACTTGGTTTTATGAGGGCATGAGTAAGTGTTATTTTTTAGATTACGACTGTTCCTCTCCCGCAAAGGTTTCATCTGTTGAGAGGTGGGGCTTTTGAAACATGATTTGATCATGGGGCCGCTATATTCTTTGTTGGATTAGTCCATTGATGATGGTATGCTGGGTGTACTGTTAAGAAGTGGGGCCTGGTTGGGAATGATGTGTCACTGAGATCAGGCTTTTGCAAATTATTTCTCCTTTCCCAGTTCCTCCTTTAACTCTCTGCTTCCTAGCTGCCATGAGGTGAGCACCTTAGATCCACTCTACTTTTCTCCCATGCTATTTTTGCCATGGAATCAACCAACCATTGGCTAAAACCACAAAATCCTCAGTGACATTGAACCTCTTATCTTTCAAGTTGTGGTGTTAGTTATCTTGTCCCAGCAAAGAGAAAGCTAACTCATACAATAGGCATGCATTTTTATACTCTTTTCAGCCAGTAATTTGATCAACCTATCAAAATTATGTACATATTACTCTACTGTTTCTCTTTTTTTACTTTAAAGAGAATAAAAAATAAAAACAATGCAGAATTTCAAAACAAGATGATAGGAAATTACCAATGGTTATTATATTGCATATTATTATCTTCAGAGTTGTTCTTCAGATTA